CAAAGAGTTGAAGGCACCAATAACTCCTTCCCTCTCTGCAGTAATCAAGAAAACTAACATGTGGCCAAAGAACGAAGCACCAACACAGTTCAAGAATCCTCCACGGCGAGCAAACAAAACTATTGGCCTTGCACATATAGTCAGGAGAAGATCTCTATTGATTCAAAAGGTCAAGATGCTAAAATAAATTTAAGTACGCTAGAAGGGGGGTCGAACCTCCGACCTTGTGGTTAACAGCCACACGCTCTAACCAACTGAGCTATTCCAGCTTGTGATATGTATACAGCAAACACTATATAAAATTTAAATCGCTTTTATATGAATTTATACTGTTATTTATTAATTATAAGTTAGTTAGATATTTTCACACAAGATATACAATTATATCAATCCAAACAATTCGAATTTTCAATGCCAGACTTAAGAATAAAACATTAAAAACTGATGATCTAAAAACTTGGTTAAATTAAGGAAAAACTATTCACCTTCGCAGCATATGCTATTTCACAAAATTTTAACCATATTAACCAAATTTTTAGATTAATTATGAATTGGATTCAGTTCTTTTATTTTGGTTAAATTAAAATTAAATAAGGTTGGCCAGATGAGCTAGAAGTTGAACTTGACTGGAGGCACAGTTACAAGTGTAATACGACTGCAAAAATCATTGGTTGAGAAAGTTGAAGGAAAAACTATTTACCTACGCCTTCGAATCATATGCTATATCACATGGATCAGTCAACCATATGTATTAGTTTAAATAGTCTGATGAGTTTTTATACTGGAATCACTTAACAACATAATTAAAGGCAATATCAATACTATTAAAACAGGATCCCTTTTATGAATTTACCCTTAGGTTTCCTTGGCATATTACTTTTTGTGCCATCAGATTTGCTTTAAGAACTAAAATTTTAAGAGGGTAGTTTAGGAAATGAAAAAAGGACCACCAAACTATCCTAAAATCTCTCATCATATAAATATATTGTACCTTTAATTTTCCAAATTAATTA